GTGTGTTTGTGTGTGTGTATTTATATAGGGCCTGTGGAGTGTGTGCATGTAAGGAGCTGTACTGTGTGTTTGTGAATGTATCTAGGGGCTCTAGTGTGTGTATGCATATAGGAGCTATAGAGCACATGTGTATAGTGGGGATAATGTATGCATAGGTGGTGTAGTGTGTACAGGGGGTGCAGAATATGTATTTATAGGCGATATAAATTAGTGTGGGTGCATGCAGGGGGTGTAATGTGTGTGTTAATAGGGGTATAACGTATGAGAGTGCAGGGAGTGTAGTGTAGTGTAGGTTTATGGTGTATAGAGTGTGTTTAGTGTGTGTATGTGAGTGCCAGGGGACTAGTGTATATATAAGGGGTATAGAGTGTGTGTAGTGTGTTTGTGTGTAAGTGCAGGAGGTGCAGTGTGGATATAGGGGTATAGAGTGTGTATTGTGTGTTAATGCAGGGGCTGTAGTGTGTATGTAGGGGTATAGAGTGTATGCAGTGTTTTTGTGGGTTAGTGCAGTGGGTGCTGTGTGTGTAGTGTGTTAGTGCAGGGGAGTAGTATGTTTGTGTTTTAGTGCAGTGTGTGTTTGTGTGTTACTGCAGTGTGTGTTTGTGCAGGGGAGCAGTATGTTTGTGTGTTAGTGCAGTGTGTGTTTGTGTGTTAGTGGTGGGGAGCAGAATGTTTGTGTGTTAGTGGTGCAGTGTGTGTAGTGTGTGTTTGTGTGTTAGTGCAGTGTGTGTGTGTTAGTGGTGCAGTGTGTGTTAGTGCAGTGTGTGTGTGTGTTAGTGGTGCAGTGTGTGTTAGTGCAGTGTGTGTTTGTGTGTTAGTGCAGTGTGTGTTAGTGGTGGGGAGCAGAATGTTTGTGTGTTAGTGGTGCAATGTGTGTAGTGTGTGTTAGTGCAGTGTGTGTGTTTGTGTGTTAGTGCAGTGTGTGTTTGTGTATTAGTGCAGTGTGTGTTTGTGTGTTAGTGGTGCAGTGTGTGTAGTGTGTTTGTGTGTGTATATGGCCTTAAATTATTATTATTATTAAAAAGTTAAAAAAATAATAATAATAATTCCATTTACTCCCCCTTTTAACTTTGCAGGGGGGGAGGGAGCATTCACATACCTGGTGGTCCAGTGAGGGGGGGCTACGCCACACACACATCCCTGGCAGTCCAGCGGCAGGCAATTCAGTGGGTTACCATGGCAACGCTCTGATAATCTTGGAGCTCGCGAGAAGAGGAGATAGGAAGCTGCTCGGCGTGCGCAGAGGGTGATCGGCTCACTGCCCGATCTCCTCTCCGGCCCATTGACAGGATAGAACTCCATCTTGGGGCCGGTGCTGCTGCGCATGGGCTGGTAGGGGAGATCTCTTGATCTTTCCTACCGGCCTTGGTCCATGGCCATCGCGGCCCACCGGGCATTTGCCCGATGGCCAGTCCGGGCCTGTGTAGAGGCAACGCTTGGGATCACCCAGGTAAAAGGAGAGTGCAAGCACAGTTTCACTCGGCAGCAGTATATGGGTGCTCACCCCAAGCCGGGTTACTAGGTATAAACCTGACTGGCTGAACCACCCCTAGGTTAATTATAACCATGACAGGTCCCTGTAGCAGGGAAGGTGAACAGAAGCCAATTTCTGCACAGATTCCAATATATATCAGTAATAACTTGACCCACCCAGTAATAATGAAACCTCCAGGAGTATAACCCGTAGGGAAGTACAGTGGCACAGACAACGGAAGAAGAGGGAGGAGAGGAGGATGAGGAGAGCTCCCCGCCTGGCGTTGGAGAAAGAGGTAAGTTTAACCCCTTCCTCCCCCCAGAGCCCGGGGGCAGGGGGTCCCTGAGGGTCGGGGCACCCTCAGGGCACTATAGTGCCAGGAAAAGGAGTATGTTTTCCTGGCACTATAGTGGTCCTTTAAGTGAGAAAAAATTGTTATAAATGAGAAAAAAAATGCTTTTTTTTTTTGCATATATTTGCACATCCAGTACAACTTAAAGGGTTCTCCAATCACCGTGACCACTTTAGTGATTTGAATTGGTTATGGTTGTAGGAGTCTGGATGTGCAGTGTTTCAACTTGAAACACTGCACATACACAGTCATTTTTAATTGTGTGCCGGGGTCTAGTTACACCCCAGCACATGTGACATTGGCAGCCCAGAACAGGACTTGGGCTCCCAATGTCAATTCTTTGCATAAAAAAAAAATCTGTTGTCAGTGCACACTGCATGCTGTCAACAGACGTGATAATCTTCCACCTGATTTCTTCCCCCTCCTTATCCCATACCACATTTTATCTTTCTCCCACTTCCCTCCTCCTTTCTCTCCCTCCTACCCTACACATGCACTCTGAGCCAATTAAATAGACCAATCAAAGGTTTCTCTATGAAAAACCTTTGACTGGACCTTGGTGCTACTCCCATGATGTAAGATGGGGGTCTTGCCCGCTGCTGGATAAAGTGAAGTAATACCTTCATTGAAAACGCTTTCGAGAGGGGACACCATGGCAAATAATGTCACGTTGAAAAAAAAGGGTTGGAGTAACCTTTTAAGAAAAGGCGAACGAGACACACAGGGCTGGGGAGGGGAGAAAGATATAACAAATGCGCTGGGGGGATTAAGAGACACTCAAAGGGGCTGTGGGAGGTAAGAGACACAGGAGCTGTAGGAAAGTAAGAGACAAGAGGGGCTTGGGAGACTAAAAACAACACACAAGGGGGTGTAAAACACATAAATGTAAAAATGGGAGGATAAGATACACTAAAGGTGGTGTAAGACACAAAAAGGGCATAATATACACTAAAGGGCGTAAAACATTCAAAAGATGGGTTATGAAAAAAAGGGGGGGTATGAAATTAAAGAGGAGGGTTAAGTGAAGCTGCCGCTCAATTAAGTTTTTCTGATGAGTATAGACAGTCCTTGCAGGCATTTTCATGCAAACACTGTATTTTCAAAGTAAAGGCAGTGTTTACATTAAAGCCTAGGGGCACCTCCAGTGGTCACTCCTCAGGTGACCACTAGAGGTGCTTCCTGGGTCAGTGCTGCATAGGATGGCTTTTTTATTGTTTATCCTGGCCTCTGTACTGCTCTAATTTGGCTTGTATTCGTTTATCCTGTTTCCCCCCATCCTTGACCATGGCTATTACTCTAAGGACTGGTACACAGATAGTCTCTTCTATGTTGTGTTCAGGGTCTATGTGATTTGGTTCCTACCCCAATCCTGACATTGTGTGCGCTTGTTAAATTGTATATTGTACTATAAACTATAACTAGCTGTACATAGCTGATCCTAGGGTCACAGATGTCTGGGTGCAGAATCTATTTTTGGTTCCCCCGTGTGGGCCTGGCCACCTTTACTAACTCCTCCCGTTTACATATGTTCAGTCTATACATGCATCTTTCTATGGCAACAACTCAACCTCTCTATCTATAATCCCCATCCCCTTTTGCAATCAGACACTGAGAAACACAATCACTGACAGACACACTGACACACATTCTCAATGACAGACACTCTCTTACTGATTTGAAACCTACTCACTGACAGACACACACTCACATATTTACACATTCTTGCACACATACTCACAGAGTGATGTCATGTTCTGGCTCTTGGCATCTCTGCATAGGGCGAGGGAGTAGTGACGAACAGCAAGGACATAATTTCTCCCTCGCTGCCGTCTGCTTCCTCTCTCCCCACAAGTATATCTTGGCAGAGTAGGCACCTGCCATCCGGGTACGCAGATGCCTATTCTGCAAAAATGAACAAGTGCCAGTTTGGTGAGTGACCTAAGTTGCCCTGTAGTTCCGGTACTGGCTGGCTTCTATCTCCGCGCTGCCCCCTTCTGCCTGGCGAAGTGCACCAGCGGAGGATCGGCCCTGTAGCTACTACATGTTTCTACAGAGTTTTGGTAGTAAAATAATTAAATTACATATTCAGGACTTCAGACTATACCATCCTAACTTCAGTACATCTAAAATCCTGTGAGTGCATATTTAATCTACTGCTCTTTCCACTTCATAGAAACATAGACTGTGACGGCAGATAAGAACCATTCGGCCCATCTAGTCTGCCCAATTTTCTAAAAACTTTCATTAGTCCCTAGCCTTATCTTATAGTTAGGATAGCCTTATGCCTATCCCATGCATGCTTAAACTCCTTTACTGTGTTAACCTCTACCACTTCAGCTGGAAGGCTATTCCATGCATCCACTACCCTCTCAGTAAAGTAATACTTCCTGATATTATTTTTAAACCTTTGTCCCTCTAATTTAAGACTATGTCCTCTTGTTGTGGTAGTTTTTCTTCTTTTAAATATAGTCTCCTCCTTTACTGTGTTGATTCCCTTTATATATTTAAATGTTTCTATCATATCCCCCCTGTCTCGTCTTTCCTCCAAGCTATACATGTTAAGATCCTTTAACCTTTCCTGGTAAGTTTTATCCCGCAATCCATGAACCAGTTTAGTAGCCCTTCTCTGAACCCTCTCTAAGGTATCAATATCCTTCTGAAGATACGGTCTCCAGTACTGTGTACAATACTCCAAGTGAGGTCTCACCAGTGTTCTGTACAATGGCATGAGCACTTCCCTCTTTCTACTGCTAATACCTCTCCCTATACAACCAAGCATTCTGCTAGCATTTCCTGCTGCTCTATTACATTGTCTGCCTACCTTTAAGTCATCAGAAATAATCACCCCTAAATCCCTTTCCTCAGATGTTGAGGTTAGGACTCTATCAAATATTCTGTACTCTGCCCTTGGGTTTTTACATCCAAGATGCATTATCTTGCACTTATCCACATTAAATGTCAGTTGCCACAATTCTGACCATTTTTCTAGTTTACCTAAATCATTTGCCATTTGGCTTATCCCTCCTGGAACATCAACCCTGTTACATATCTTAGTATCATCAGCAAAAAGACATACCTTACCATCAAGACCTTCTGCAATATCACTAATATTGCTAACTTCGTCACTGCAAGAGCAAGATATCTTAAAGTGTCTGTGTTACCAACAAAACTACATTTTTTTTTAATAATTCAAAGTTTATTGGTAGATATGGCATATGTCATGAACGGTAATATGAAATGTCATGTACATATAAGCAGCAGGTTATTGTATAATGCAAATAACAATTGTTACAAATTACAACAATATGATATATATTGGTTTAAAGAGATATAGATTAGTAGAAAATAGTAAATAGCATGAGAGAGCTTATATGTCATGTCTTGGGTCTAAAAGATGGCTTAAGAATAAGAGACATTGACATACTTCCAGTTAAGAAAGACCTTAGGCGTTGCCATATCAAAGCGACAAGAAATATTGTGCTTTGTATACAAGTTAAGTCATATGCTATAGAAAAGGATTGAGTAGCCAAATAAGAAAAGTGTGAAGGGAGAGAAAAATGAAGCAGAAGAGAAGAAAGGAAAGAAGGAAAGGGTCCTGACTGAATACGGGAAAGGAAAAGAAATAGCCTGCTTGAAGTTCTAATATGCCCCAGTGAGCAAACAAAAAATTGCCCAGAGCAAACCAGAAGACCTGAATCCTGACATGCGCGGCTAGTGGTATATCACTTGTCTGCATAACATAGTGAATACTGTCTAGGAGCAGCGTTGTTCCACCAGACTCAGAAAAATAAAGGGCAAATTATATTCACAACAGGGTAACATTATAGAATTTAGTGAGCAGTGACCAGAACTCTAGAATCTAGTCCAGACACTCTGATCATCTGTAGCACATTGGCCCATTGGAAATTTATCTGACGAGCTTGGCCCCCGCACTCCAGCCTCCTGTACCATCACTTTGCCAATAAAGTCCCAGCGTAGATTTACAAGAGCCCCCAAATGACTCTTCCATTGCCGGCCACTTTTCTGAGTTGAGCATCACACAACTCCCAACTACCAGTCTGCCAGAGGCCCGATCATCAGCAGGGTTTCTGTCACTAATTTTGTTCACAGCTATATTGATCAGAAGTGGAATCATCTTACTGAGAGAGTAACCAAATTACAGGTCTCACAGTGAGCAGTGGACCTAAGAGGTTGTAAACCAAGGCTGCCCAAACTGTAGATCTCTAAATGTTGTAGAACTAGAACTCCCAAGATGCGTGCATGCCTTTAGAATGGCAAAGCATTATGGAAGCTGTTTTAAAACATCTGAGGATCTACCTTTTGGACAGCACTGTTGTACACAGAGTTCGCAAAGAGTAATCTTCACAAAAAGCTTAGCAAAATGTTTATGGAGGATTGTTTATGCCAAATAGCGTCAGTAAGTGATGAGAGCATCTAAGTAGAATGGCAGCAGATTGTAAAGCTTAAGACCAGAACTGTGAAATATGGCATCTTGTCAGCTCAATGGTCTGGCCCCGACACCCAACAAAGCCTAAATTAACCATACAAGGACTATTGGCAGTTCATACTAAGCCTCATAATCCCCATACTCTTTATAATAATAGCACCTCTCTTCAGCTTTATTCAATATTGTTATCATCAAAATAATTTTGTTGTCATGATAATTATTAGGAAAATGCTCAGTCTATAAAGTGTTTTAGGTGACAAGACAAAATTAAATTGGTCTTGATGCTGCCGTGAAAGGATCACTGCTGATGCTTGTGGATCACCTGATATATTGGATCACCCACATGTAGGGTGCCAGTTTTATCCACGCCGTAGTACTGCCCAAAGAGAGGTGAGGTTTTATAGACATGGCTCAGAGCAGCATCACTTTTCCTGTAGGTTCTTAAGGTATCCAGCGGTTCCTTTCGTGTTATAATTCCAGTGTCAGGGTTCACAGTGGTTAAGATACAGCGTCCACATGCCATGATCCTTTTAAGTCTAGCTGTGCCCACCCTGATGTCATGCCAAGCATCCTCTGCAAAGGCATTACAGTCAGACACCACTATACAAGGCCTGAAATTCCTCAGGGAGATGGGCTCTGCGAGACGACTGTTGAGATCCTCCATGGATGTCTCAGAGAGAAGCATGATGGGGCTGGCATCACTATAAGCAATAACATCTACATCTCTGAACAGCACCTCACTGTCTTTGGATTTGCGTGGGCGCATTGTCTTCTCTTCAAAATGCACCAAGTAGTAGGGCTGACTGCTTTGGAAATAGGATGTGAACCAGCGAGAAGCTTCTTCCCCACAATCCCGACCCTGGATGTCCTTTCCAAACACTCTGCAGTCCCGCACCTTGTTGCTTTTAGGAAGTGACATAGGAACTAGGAGCTCATCCATCCCTTCACCTTTAAGGCACAAAGAGTCACCACGCACGCTCACAGAGATGAGAACCAAACGAGGTTCCTGTCTGCCAGTCACCATATGCCCATCCTCGGTCACCACCAACCAATGCCTGTCCCTAAGATCTCCTTTATATAGACCAAGCTCCATGCAGTCTGCTTCCTGCACTGACACTGGTCGACATGACTTGATGGGGTAAATGAATAGTTCGGACACAATTCCCACTTGCTTCAATTCTAGTTCCTCACTTTGCTTTTTCCTCCACCACATCCAGGTGGCAATAGCTGTGAGCCCCACACCAGCTGTCCAGAGCAAAAGTAAGCGTTGGCGTGGGAAGGCCTGCAAAGCAGACTGTATGGCTGCAGTAAGATAGCTGGACATTTCAGGAGATATGTGTACCTCTGTGATTTATGTATGATATCAATGTCACGTGCCAAGTGTCCAATGGAAAGCTTCAAACACTACTGTCCAGAGAGACTGAAATCAGCTCCATGCAACCTAAAATTAAACAAAGTACATTACGTGCAATTAGAAAACCGAATACACTCAAATAATCTCATACAGGATCATATGAGGATAAAGACAAGATTAAAAAAATAGAACCATGGGACAGAAAATAGTTACAAGAAGAATGTTTGGTTTCATTCTGTTGTGACAGAATCCAGGGTTCAAGCCAGAAAGATAGTACTTTGAACAAAGGATTCCTTAAACTCTTAACCTGAGAAAAGTTATTGCCTTACACCCCACTCCTACAGCCCATGTGCACGAAGGGTGAGAATTAATAGAACGACCAACGACCCATTAATTTCTCTATTTCTTAAGGTTTTGTTGGTGTAATTTATCATGATGCTTGGTCAAAGGATCCCAAATACTTGTATTCTAGCAATAGCACTAGTCTTTTTCATGTATTTGTTCCTATGGCCTTTCAACCTCAGATCTGCCTGGAATTACTGTTGCACAATTTTTCCTCCCCTTTTGCTGCTAGCCAGATTCCAGGCTACACTGGTGGTGTCATAACAGTCCAAAGTGCCTTTACTGCATGCTTTTCTTTGCCAATATTTCTTCATTATAAAACATGTAGGTCATATGGCAAATTGTAAAAAAAAAAAAAGTTAACTCTTTGATGGAATTTTGATGTTGCTGTGTGAAAATCTGAATATTACCTGATTATATAATATTATTATTTTACCTCCGAACACTTCCTAACTTTTACGGTTCAGCAATATCTACTGTGTCCCTATATTTTTTTCTTCAGCCCATGGTAAAAATCCTAAACCTAAAAAAAAAAAAATCCTGCTCTCAAACTAGAAGGTCAAAATCAGATTTTCCTATAAATCACATCATATTATGCACCTACCCACATCTTCTGTCTGACCTACTGTAAGGATACATACCCTTGCGCTGCACCACTCATCGGCTGCCCCTACCTCCCCAAGTAACCACATCAGTTTCACACCCTCAGACACCTTTGCAAGCATTTCTAATACCAGACGCTTATTTCGGCCCCTTTTTTCACAATCTAATTTCCTACCTGGCTTTAAACCTAAACCGCTTTGAATTTTTTTCCTGACATGCAAATTTTCCTTTATGGTTGAATTATCTCTACATATAAGCTATGTGTGTTAAGTGAAAGTGACCTAAAGCTCAGAGATTGGTCTAATAGCCAGTTAGTGGATTCATATACTAGATGATATCAGAGTAATTGATCATATTATTGGACATCCTTACCCTAAAGCTGCTTTTATTTATTTGTTATAGACAAATTTCGTATTAGACAAATTTTATATTATTTGCTTGCACTTCATATAAGTGTTTTTTTTACCTAATTAAATATTAAAAGTTAAGTTTTAACATAAAATTGTGGGTTGGACTCTTAATGCTTTTGGAAGTTGTTACATTAAATAATCTGGGTTCATGTCCATTTCCGCTCTAGCCCTATATGCATTGGTCTCCTCTAAATTATATCTTTACTCTAATCCTTTTTCTGATGATATTAAGCCATGCCCATGTGTTCGGCCCTCAGACCTGATTTGGAACGTTAGTTCATGTGAGACCCGATCGGTATGTTAATAAAGACCTCTTGCTTCCTGAAAACCTGCATCCATCTCTCTGTGTCTGGCTTCTGCAAGTTTACTCGGTTACATCTTGAGCACAGCAACAAATTGTTGGAGCTTGTTGTCCGTACACATGGGGAGTCCGGGAAAGGCCTTTTCATAACCACTCGTGGTAATTAGAATACAAGTGTGGACATGCATTACTTTCTTTCCTTTAATGCATGGGTCCTCAAACTCCGGCCCCCCAGATGTTGCTGAACTACAACTCCCATGATTCTCTGGCTATGTAATTCAAAGAATCATGGAAGTTGTAGTTCAGCAACATCTGGGGGGGGGGCCGGAGTTTGAGGACTCATGCTTTAATGTGTTCTTTACTAAATGAAAAAATATATACAACCGCCCCCCCTCCAAAAAAAAACTATGCTACCCAATATTAGGAGAATGAGAGCATACACACTTACAATTGTGTAAAGAA